ATATATATATATATATATATATATATATATATATATATATATATGTAAATCCTCATGTTATTACAAGCTGTGAAGTAAACTTTGTACAAGTCTAAAAGCTTGTGAACGGAAAAATTGTTTTGGAGCATTATATAGTAAAAATTTAGAATTTTTTTTGTTCCTTAAGAATAAACTGTCACATCTTAGGAATTTTAGTATTATAAAACTTGGGATGTGACATTAGGTCTTTAGCCTCTCTCACCCTTGGATGGCTTACACTGACGGCTTAGATTTAGTCTAGGTTAAAGCCCACACATGAACCTCTTATAAAAGGACTTAAACCCTAACTCATTACATCTTCTACACATATTACGAGAGTTAGTGATAGATTCTTGGAGAGTGATGCTCCTCTCATTGCATCCAGTCCTTCATAGTGCATTAAAGAGAGTGAATGAATAGTGCATTAAAGCCATAACCTTGAAGCCATTGAAGCTACTTCTCATGATGTGCCAACGCCTTCATTTGGGCCTCGTTATGCTGCTTTAAATGTTCCCATAACAGTAAGCAAAACTTCCCCTTTTGGTTCCCATTTCACGGATTTCGACGGTTGCTCCTTTAGTAACCTTGGCCCGGCGGGCATTGGGGGCATCTTTAGAAAACATATGGCCTCTCCCTTCTTACCTTCGTGTCCCCTATCAGCATCGTGGATTCCACATTGGCGGAAGGCCTTGCCCTTCTGGAAGGCCTCAAACCCTTCAAGGAGCATTGTTTTGGTTGTAGCGGGTAACTCAAGAAATGTAATTTCCTGGGCCTCTCGTGAGGCTGCCTCACCTTGGAAACTATTGACCATCTTTGATGAGATTTACGACATTTGCAGGCATATACAGGTCTCATGGATGCATACCTAGAGGGAGGCCAACCAAGTGGCCGACACTCTAGCTAAGCAAGGTGCTTCAGTGGAAGTGACCTAATTTATGTTCTTATGGATCTTCTATGACCTGATCTATGTTGTTACGGATCCTATGCCCCATTTTTGTACTACGAATCTCTCTTTTTTGTATTTATTGTATCCGATTGTATATCAGATTTTGGTTTATTGCCACATCCTCGGTGGCAGTTTGTGGAGCAGGAGTGGGCGGTTTTTGTATATTGTAAACGCTTATATACTTAATATAATGTTAACATTTTCAAATAAAAAATAAAAAAAATAACAAAAGAAATTGTTGTCATTTTTATATTGACCTAGGAACATCCAATATTGGCATTGTAACATGCCAGTGCATTTAGACTAAGAATATACAACTATTTGAGTACGTAAGTGGCCAATTTGATAAGATGTAGATAGGGTTTGTCTTAGATCGGGTTTGTCTTAGCCGACCCCAAATAGTTGGAATAAGGTTCGGATGATTATGACAAATAAGGTTTGTGTACTATGTCCATTAAAGATTTTCTTCTTAAAGAGTTCTTGTTCCTTGGGAACATAATGCTATTTATCAATGTTGTGTGTGAAATCGTATTAGCCTATTGGGCATCTTTGTGTGATTACAGCCCATTTTTCACTAGTGCCTTGCAAGAAAATTCCTGCAAATGAAAGTTTTGTAAACGTGGGCTAAAATATATTTGTGCCTTTTCCCTTTATTGTATATTTGGAAAAGTGACGTGCATTTGACTTATTTTCCATTTACCCTGGGAGTATGAAAGTAATTTCTGACATCTTTTCAAGTCGAAATGGATCATCTCACAAAAGTTGTTTCACTCTCTCTTGATATAAGATCGTGCAAGTCTATTTTATACCAAGTTGACTGCAATTTTTGGAACATGGTGTCTCCCATGTTTCTTACTACTCTTTTTAGTCAATTCTTGTGAGTCCAATAAATTGAGTCTCTGAATTATTCCTTTGAATTATTTTAGGTTACTATGATTGCGTTCTTGGAAATTTAGGATTTCATGGTCATTGCTATTGACGACACTGTTTCTAAAAACAAAAGCTGCAATTCATGAGAGTATTAGCCATATAGCATTTTGAAGTTATTTCATAGAACTGAGTATGCACCCCCATCCTTTCTTGTCTTTCATATTTGGAGTCTCCATTAGCTTAATTGAATGACAAAGGGCAAACATTTTGATATTCATGAGATTTCTTTCCTTAAGGCCTCTAATTGAAAATGACATACATGCTTATTTTCCAGGTTTTATATGGCAGCAATAATTCGCTTGTCCAAGGAGCATGTGGGGTAGGCCTTGGTTTCACTTGCCTTGATCTCTTTGCTCGAAATGAAGTTGGTAATGATTTGGGCATAGATGAGGGGAATTATAAGATGAAGGAAGTGGAATTACTGAGAATGATAGTGAGAGCCTTGGCAAGGATGATTGCCCTGATGTGCCCTTCTAACATGGCTGTGAAGGACCTTTGCCAATATAATCCCATTGGTGTTGGTCACTTTCAGGAAGAGAAGGAAGCTGTTGGTTCGGCCGGTGCCAGCTGTAAGAATTTGAAGGATGATGTATGGGGTGGTGCTGGTCTTATTATTGGTCTGGGCAGTTGTGTGCCTGCTATTTACCGATCCGGAGATCACAAAACTGTCCTGAAAATAAAACAAATACTGATGTCCTGGATCCCTCATGTTAATGTGAACATTCATAGCTATGAAAATGTCCCTATGTTGTCTTTATCGGTGGGCTCGTGTCTTGCACTTCCCACCATTGTAGCTTTATGCCAAAGAGCAGAGATGGGGGATGACAACCTAGACCCTCTTGTGATTGGATATCGTGAACTAATTTCTGAACTTTCAAAGGTGAACAAGTTCGGAACATCCCATCAGAATCTGACGATGGCATCCTGCATTGGTGCTGGAAACCTGATCTCTTGCATTTTGGATGAAGGAGTGTACCCTATAAGAGTTGAGCTTATAAAATCTTTACTGGAAATGATGAGAGATGCATACATGAAACCAAACTCTCCTTGTGTTCACTTGGGTGGTATGTTTGGGGTGGTTAATGCGTTAGGTGCTGGGGCAGGGCTTCTAACTCGTACATCCTCATGGTTTTGTTCTCAGATTGATTCCAACGAAATAGTAAAGTTATTTTAACCTTATTTTTCCATCACAATAACGTTTTTTTTTTTCTGATGAAGTCCTATACGACACTCATTGTCCTTTTCTTCTGTTTTGATGTTCAGGCTTCATCTTATATCAATGGGCCCATACTATCCAGTCCTATTTGTGAGCCACTCTCTACATCACTCATGCAAGAAATTTTTCTGGTTGCTCGAGAATCTGAAAACCAAGAAATGAGAAGTTCTGCTGCGTGGTCAATGTCTTTCCTCAGAAATAGATGGCTGTCCAGGGATTTACCTGCAGTAAATAGTTTCCAGAGTTACCCAGTGGATAGCAAACCTGTCTCTCAAAACTTTCCAGAAGACAGTGCAGTTTGGAAATTCTGTTTGTGGTTGATCGATCTTAATTTTTCAAAGGTATGTAATGCTGACAAAAGTTTGATATGAATATAGACATTCCGGGTTGGTGTTAGTTCTTTAATTTTGAGTCGCTTAATGCATGGGTTTTTACCATATCCCGAGTTTTTGAGTTTTGTTTGTCTCTCACCTTTGTTTGTCAATATCTTCTTGTGCTGAATTTTGGGTGATTACAGTTTAGAAACTCGAAGACTCTTCATGCATAGTTCTTCTGCATTGTGTAAACAACAGTCTAATCTGGTGACATTGTACATAAAATCATATAACATTCTGACTGAAAGTAAGGAAAGAATGAAGCTCGTAATAATGCTTTTCGGTGTTTATCTGGTTGTATTTGTGGTTCAAATACATGTATAAGGACTGAAAGAGGCTCAGAACTTTTGTATCAGCATCAGATTTGATTTCTTTGTTTTAAATCACCTTCTGGATCAACTAGTGGTTCTCGATGACCAATTCCATCGGTCGTGCACCATTTATTGTTTTGCAAGCCTATTTCCACCTACCAGGGATTTATGAATGGTCTATTGCTCTCGTAGAAGTATTGCATCAAGGATTTGGTACTTCTGTTTGTCACTATTTGTTAAATTTGGGTCACATTAAAAGATTTCAACAGCTACCTGTAGCTCTCGGGAGCAAGAGTGGGGATCGGGGATTGTCCCTTTCTAAATCTTCCTATGAGAGTGCATGGAATTGCTTGATTTGGACAGTCATTGGGGTGCCCGTGGAATATAGATATTGTGGGAAATTTATTAAAATACATCTAAAAGTTGAACTATTAACATTTTACCCTAGCTGTAATTTGATGAATTTCAAAACCCATGTTGATGTGTCATTTGATTTTTGAAATTTAATCTAGGGAATGATGAGCCATTTGAAAATGGATCGAAAAATATTTGTAAGATGTTAAAATAATTCAAATCCTAGGTGTAGTGTGATAAATTTCTCTATATCATATTAGGGAGTGCCATAGAATATAAATTTATTATATATTATATACTTGTATAGTATCATATGTAATATATGTTATATGTACAATATAGAATAGGTTGGAACTGTAAAATTTTAAAACAAATGTTTTAATGTTTCATACAGATATACCATAATAATTCAGTAGCAAGAGAGTCCCATAGGAAAATTATTGAGAGGGCTACGACAAGAGAGTGAACTGAAATCCCTAAATCATCAATCTTTAGATGGTGTTCATGGAACCTTGAGAACTATCTCTGATATCCTATTGCACACACAGACACTTCCATAGTGCAGCGAGTTAGTGACTATAGTCGGATAATTTATTGAATTATATTTCAATTATCCCAAAAAAAAAAAGCCCTATCTAATTGACTATGGATCACAATTCACATGTTAAATGGGATCAATATCCCATTTAATCAGGTGAGAGCTCCCCAAGGTGGATCAGCTCCGGGAATGTGGAACCATGTTCCTAGAATGGGAGCATTCCCCAGGGAAGGGGTTCCCCCTAACTATGGGCTATCCTTTGGCATCATACTTACAACTAAATAAGTGCCTGAATTGATACTTATAAAAGAGAATTCGTGCTAATTAATGCTTCCTTAATTCTTTGTCATTCATTATTTGTGAAGAAAAGAAATTGAGCTGGTATTTCCATGGAAAAAATAGGAAGCTTTAAGCTACAACAAGTACTTATAGAAGACAATTAGACTAGAGTGGATGATCTTCTAGCTTGGTTTCTGATTTATTTTAAAATGTTAGACCAGATGAACATGATCATTTACCTAATATTTGCAATTTGCATGAATGTGCCTTGAAACATGTAAAACTCTAGAACTTTCTGTGGAGCATATGTTTAATTTGTACTCCGGATTCAAGTATTGTTCCTTCGAAGATGCTATTCTTCAATGTTTTTATCTTGATGGTCTGGAATCAGATATTCGAATGACTTAAATGTTTCCTTCATGGTGTAATATGGTGATATTTAACCATTATTGAAGTGTATGATGATTCTAGGACACTCACTATCTTCAAAAGAGTTATAGATTGGTCGATTGGAGTAATAAATATCTGGTTTTTTTCTTTTGGAATATCAGATGAGTACAAGTGCCCCTGCAAATACAGTTGCCTCAGTCTTGAGATGCCTTGCACGTGCTCCTCGGCTGCCCTCCGCCTTGGATTGGGGAATAATTATTAGACGTTGCATGAAATATGGTGATCATGCTTCCATCAACCATAATTCTGATCAGTCCCTTGAAAGAGGAACAGTAAGAGTGGAATGCCTCGCTCTTTCTTTTGCACATGCGCAGCATGTCATTCCTCTTCTATGCTTTCTCGATGAGCTCTTTGAGCTTGCTAGGTTTCAGTTGCTTGAGGTTCCTCTCAAGTCCTTCCTCCTGGCTCATTTGGTAGATATGATGAAACTTCTCTCTAAATCCAGAATGGAGAAACTGTACAATGGTATGTTTGAGTTCTTTAGTTCTCCATCTTCCTCTTACATGGATTATGACCCAAATACGAAGAAGTCATTGAGGGCGTCATTCTGGAAAGGTTTGCAGATATGCCCTTCAGGGCCAATTGGCACCACGCTTTCTCTGTCAATCTTGGATAAGTGCCTTGATTCAATGTTCGTTTTACTGCCTCCATGGCCTTCTGATGACTGCGATCAAGAGTGGTCAGAGGCCATTACATGTCTTGGCCAGGCTCAACAGGAATGGCTGGTGAATATCCTGCTGGTAAATCTCTCTCTCTCTCTCTCTCTCTCTCTCTCTTTCTCTCTCTCTCGGCCCCCTTCCGTCCCAACCCCCCGTCCTCTCTCTACTTCTCAATCTCGATCTCTCGACATGTAGCTTACCGCCAATATGATTTCTTCTGTCTCAAATTTGCTATGCATTGCTTGTCAAGTACTAGTGCATAAACTTCTGCTAGATGTGAACCATTTCATAGGAAAGGACAAAGGCATGCTACTTGGTTATCAATATTGTAACTGTCTTGGAAATGGCAACAGATCCTTCTTTTCCATGTTTAATTTTAGGAGTGCTAGGTAGTGATACAAGTTTCGGAACTCCATTACAAAAACTTCAGAAGTAATCAGAAAAATCTTAGTGGATAATATTTTAACTTCAGATGAAGTTAAATGGACTTGAAAATTGAATTCCTTTTCCTTTGAAAATAAGGCATTTGGTGTTCCTTGTATACTTCAACTACATCTAGTGGATTGCTGCTTAAAATATTATGTCAAAATCTTATGAACCTGTAGGCTTCTGTTCTGGCTGCAGCAAACGTGATTGTTTTAAGGTAAATCTTCATTAGCATGATATATGGGTCTTATGAACAGGTACAGGAAACAGACTCAACACTAGGAAAGCTGTCTAATGAAGCAGCAAAGAGAATTTTTTTGAGAGCTAGACTAGTAATGAATGATCGCTCACCACTGTCAGAGCTGATGAAATTGTTGCCTTATGTCCTTAATAAAGACTCAGATGGTTGGTTTCTTTGTGAGGAATACTGCTTTGATTTTGTATATAGAAAAGAATCCCACACTGCACATGGATGGGCGCACACACGAGGACATGTACATTCATTGTCTGTTTCTCATTGCAAGTTCTCCTTTTCTGATTATTAACTTTTTCCTTTCGCATGGCCAGTTAAGACTGGAAATGTTATCCTCTCTCTCTCTCTCTCTCTCTCTCTCTCTCTCTTTCTCTCTTTCACACACACACATATACACACAGTGACAAGCATGTATGCACACACATGCTTGGTCACTTTGATGTATCATTTCTGTTGGCAGTTGCAGGATTTTGGCGGGTACTATTGGAAGTGGCTGCGGCTGTGCAGTGTGCCGAAATCAGCATTAAACAGCAGTGGCTTATCGATACAATTGATATCGGTTGCATAACCGAGTATCCTTCTACGGTATGTTGTCTTTGTGTTATCCAATAGAAAAGTAACTGAGATGTACAAAATACTTTGGGAAACGTTTGAAGCATGCTGATTTCTGGCATTCATGTAAAACAGAAAAGGAAATTTTTTTAAAAGATTGAGGTTCTAAACAATTACATTAAGGCACACCTCAAAAATTTACTAGAAAAGGTTGTTTCGATCTCCTCGAATTGATCATGTCGACCTCGAGATGCATAAACGTGAAAAAAATATTGGATTTCTAGTCTGGAAAATAGTACATCTTGTAATGCATTATCTGCGTCTTCAATTTTCAATATCTTCTAGTGTTTATAGATATGCGTGATCTGCATTATGTCCAAGGCTTCAAATTTTATAATTACAAATGAAAATAAAATTTTCTGGCTCTCACAGTATTTTCCACTGAAAAGTCATATTTTGACACTATTTGAAAGTACGCCTTACTCAACCTTATACAAACCACACCCACAAGTCCAGCATGCAATAGGCTGTATTTGTGCAGTACTTGGTGCTCATACTTTGTGTTATGTTGAGACTTCTTCTCACCAAGTAATTAGAAGCAAATGCCAAACCCGAACCCTCCAAAAAATAATAAATAGATAAAAAAAAAATAAAGAAAGAAAATGTCAATCCTCCTCCCTCCATCCCCATATGTGCAGTGTATTTGAGAGAGAGACTTGTTTGTTTTTTTTTCCCTTTAATTAAGGGGAGAGAGAGAGAGAGAGAGAGAGAGACTGATTTGCAGATTTTTCCCCCCCCCCTCTACAAGGCTCTACGATTTCTTGGCCTTCTATCAAGCTGCTGGTGCCACTATGCTGTAGTTTTGATTTCAAACCCAGATTCAGTCCTGAGGGACCTGCCAGTCACACTTCCTTCTCTTTTCTTATCCGGTGCCTGGAAACCTGTTGTGGAGGCTCTTGCTGCCAAGCTGTGGGCTTTCTTGGAGCGCATTCATGGCTGGGCTGCACATTTGGAAGGTGGGGACAAGGAAAAATTCCAGGGCAGCATTGACAAAAGCCAAGAAAGCATGTCTAGTTTCCTCTTACTTGTTTTGCATGCTACCTGTATTCACCTCAAGGACTACCTACCTTTTGAGTTGCAGCTGAGACTGGCATCCATGGAAATTGTATAAATGTACGTCAATTATTAAGCTAATGGTTATTTGTTGATCTTTTAGTCCTTCGAAGCACATACATTTGGGATGAATGTAGAAGTTTGGATTTTTTATGTCAATTTTCTTTTCATGGTCTTAAGTGTTTTTTTTTTGGGTTTTCGTGAAATGTAAACAGTTATATTGCGTGTTTAAGATTTCAGCCCACAACATACACTCCAAGAAAGTGCATTCTAGCTAAAGCTATATAAATGGGCGAGAGACTGGTACATCTGAATACTCTGAATACATCTGAAGAAAACAAAAGGGGTTGAGAGACTGGTACATCTGAATACTCTGAATACATCTGAAGAAAACAAAAGGGGTTGTGACCTTCTCAGAAGAGGTGCCAAGGAGGTCAGACTATTGGGAGCAAAGTTTGTTGATTCAGATAATGCTTCTGCCTTGGTAAGTGTATTTAATGGTTTTCCTTGCGGCATGTATATGAAACAACATGTACTATATGCCCACAACGATTAAGTAGCTCATCAAAGAAGTGGTGCAGTCGTCAAGGACATTCTACTTCCCTCTTAGCCCAGGATATGACATTTTTGGAGCCCCCTTCCACTACTAACTGCCTAGACCAATCCTCCGATCCCCTCTAAAATGGCTATAGACTCAACACTTGTCGAATCGGTGTAGCCAATGAAACTGGGGTAGGAGAAAATGTTGTCACTGCGGTCCATTAAAACCCCAGGGAAGTCTGCTTGTCCAAGGTTGTGAAGGGAACAACTATCAAAATTAAGATTGATTCCAAATAGCACCAAAAAGATGAGCGAGGCATTTGGATGGGCAAAGTTTCCAAAATTGCTGGCGAGCAATTTTGGAAAATTTTCTTGCCAATTTAGAATAAGGTTATTGACAGCATTATGTCTAAACCTTTTACAGTTTGTGGCCAGAAGATGATTGTAGCATAGATACGGTCCATAATTGTAGTGACCGAGGTTTCTCATCCTTCAAATATACTCATGTTCCTTTCCTTTGAAGTCGCCCAAATGGTACCCTTAATAGCTGCCTGTCATTGGAAACGGCCTTCAGCAGGTCTAGGGGCAGACAAGAAGCTTTGGAAGAGTAGGCTGGAGAATGGCGTTGCCTAGTGCCAATTGAAATGGTGTAGAAGGAAAGTCAAAAGGTAAGAGGACCCTCTTGGATTTCTGAAGCCAACAAAATACTTAGATCCTAGGGGTATGAATCTTCTATTCTTTTGTTAACGTTCATCGCGGCTTCAACTTGGATGCTTCTTGCTAAGCTTGCGACTTCCTCTTAACGATGTCTCTACTTTTTCCATCGTTTCCTTTTTGGTTTCCTTCTGTTTTTGTTTATTTTCAGCCTTCATAATCTTTCTTCATTAACTCGATGAAACAATCGTACTAATTCAAAATCTGATCTTAGGGGTAGTCCATGCCGTGGGTGCTAAGGAAGAGGATTGATGGGCCGGCGAGGGGTTTTTTGGATGAGCCCAAAGGAGCCAGGCACCTAAATAAGTGCATCGTCCCATGCTACGTGTAGGTAAGTGGAAAGCAAGGATTGGATAAAGGGGACTTCATGATCCTGCAGGTGCCTTTATAGTTTGAGCTCCAATACTCTTTATCTTCCCCTAGTTGTTCGAATAAATCTGTGACCCAAGCATCCCTGTCTTAGCCAACAAAAATTGACTCTTAAAACTCTCTTGAGGGATAGAGTATACAACCTAAGAGTGGTGCCAAAACTTCACTTAGTCCCCCGGCCTAACTCTAAAAGGAACATTGGTCCAAGGAGAAGCATGGAATGTGCGAAACCTTAGAGGACTGGCTGTTTGAGGGTCCACTAGGTAGCCAAAAGATGGAATCAATGTTATAATTCTGGTAAACTAATTGCTGCCAAAGATGATTGTTATCAACTGGTTCTTCAAGAGCATTGAAAATTCGTCTGAGAGTAGCTTGGCCAACCGGAATAATTAAAGGAGCTCCCGTGTCAATCGCTTCCATTCCTTTCATCGGACCTTTTGTAGGCGGTAGGGACTGAAAAAGGGACATTTCTCCTTGAGAGGAATCTAACTTACTGCCCAACCAACCTACTATCGAATTTCTCTACTATAGGGTCCCACAATTGTTTCTTGGCTTGCCAATGCAGTCCAAAGATACTTGGATGGTAGGTCATCAACCCACAGCCAAATATGTCAGGCAAAGTTGGTACTTGGATGTGGTCCATGGCCACCCCCATAACTTTATATATGCTCTGTTGATCGTGATATCAGTGGTGAACTCTAAAGACTAGTACACCCCAAGGGATCTCCATTTGTTGCTAGGTGGCATCACAAAAAAGTGAGGGTGACGCAATGTTGTAAGTGGGAGATCGTGGGACCTTGGCTGCCTATGTTGACGCCTTCCAAGAGGCTTTGTTGGAATAGCCTATCAATGAAGCGACAAGACCTCAATCACGATGGCAAGGAGCCATTTATTAAAATGGAGAAAAATAGGGATGAAATAAAACATTTTATCCAAATTTACCATTTTTTATTGAAACCCATCCTAATTAGGATTTCTTGAAATAGATCTCAGTTGACATGGTCTACCCAGTCTAGCATGATGACCAACCAATGAGTTTAGCAAGATGTTTCGAGTGCAAGCACTAATAGGCAACAAGGGTACCATCATTGATATGGTGCTCGTTAATGAAAGAACTCTGGTCGGGGTAAATGACGTAACCTAGCACCTCCCTTAAGCCAAGACTGTAGAAAATCTTTGTATAAATTGTTAAGAGGGCTTGTGGGCGTAATATATTCAAGGTTGTCAGCCCCATCAACTTTTGAGATCAAAGCCACTAAGGTGATGTCCATGTGTAGGGTGGATGGTCAAGGGAGTAAGGTGTAGGGGTATTCCTTTCAAAGGTTAAGGTTTCCTCTCTCTTTGTTGGATCAAGCCCAATTTCAATTCACATCATGCCAAATTTGCCAACCTGATACAAATGACAAGTCATGGGCATATATAGAGGTACCCCTTAAACAAGGGTGAACCCTCAAAACTAAGTGAATTGCCTAAAAATAGAAATAAAGTGCGTAAAAAATGAATCCCAAAATTGGTCAAAAATAACCATTTACCCCTAAGAAAAATGTGAACATGACAAAATAGTCCCCCGAAAGGTAGGCTCTTCCTTTCCACATGGTTCAGGGTGTTGTTTCGGGCTATTTTGCTATGTTTCGGATGATCTATCATCATGAAAACAGAGATCATCTCGAAAGGAATGATTTGATATGTATTTTGCACGATGTCACGAAATATTGATCTGTTCTTCAAAGTTTTGAAATTCCGGCAAAGAGGAAAGGTGAAAGTTAGTCCCCTAGTGAAGACCCTGAGAGGACGAGAAGAAACCTTTGCAAGGAGCCATTTACTAAAATGTAGAAGGACAGAGATGAAATAAAACATCTTATCTAACTTCACCATTTCTCATTGAAACCCATCTTAATTAGGATTTCCTGAAGAAGGTCTCAGTTAACATGGTCTACCTAGTTTAGCTTGATGACCAACCAAGGAGTTTAGCAAGATGTTTCGAGTGCATGCACTCATAGGTAACAAGGGCACCATCAAGGATAACACACTCGTTAATGAAAGAACCCTAGTCGGGGTAAATGAGGTAACCTAGCACCTCCCTTAAGCCAAGACTTTACAATCTTTGTATAAATTGTTAAGAGGACTTGTGGGCCTAATAGCTTCAAGGTTGTCAACCCCATCAACTTTTGGGATCAAAGCCACTACGGTGGTGTCCATGGCTTGGTAAATGATTTCATATTGATAGATTCCATAGATGAAAGTACAGAGTTAGGACCAAGAGAGTCCCAAAAATTACTAAAGAGGTCCATCGAGAAACCATTTTGTGGGTGTTTAGAGTAAGTGAGATCATAAACAAGATGATCCAACCTTGGGGTGGCGCATCCTCAGAGAAGTCTCCAGTTGGTCGGCCTTGGTTCCATACCTCGTGACCACAAAACCCTTTCTTAAAACTATGGTGCTTGTACTTCTTATTTTTTAAAAAGGAGAAAACGTGTGCTGCGCACCTCACTAGGGTTCGTAGACATGTACGCACGAGGGTGACCCTGTTGCCCACTAGGATAATGGTTGTGGGCGGTGTGGTGTGTATCGGTTCGAACCAACAAAAGAAAGTTTTGAGGAAAGGCTTACCTCAAAGTGATGGGGACGGATGCGCCTAGGTGTGTTTGCTCTCTTAGATCTCGACATCCTAAGGTGCTGGTGGAAAGCCTCCTTGCCTTTCGGCCCGGTTTGAGACCAACTCCTTCACATCATCCTCGCTTAGTGGCATGCACTTGTATGGTTCAGGACAAAGACCCTGAAATCGTCTCTTAGGCCTTGAGAAAGAAGATCGTGCTTGTTTGAGAGTTATGATGGGATAGAGGTGAGTTAAGCTTGGATTGTTCAAGGGTTGAGAGGCTAGGTTTGATAGGTCAAGGCAAAAGGGGGGAACCGCTCAATAAAATTCGCTAGCCTTTCGACGTCACCTCGCTAAGAGGTAATATCGGAGACGGGATAAAGGGAATAGGCTCTAGGCCTAAATACCTCGAAGACTTGTCAAGAGGTATCAATCCTCTCAGAGAACAAAATCGGGCTTAACCTTAGGCCCAAGTCTCCTTAAGGAGCGGGGGCTAAGTAAAGGACGGGGAAAGAAAGAGAAGTGAAAGAGAGAGTAAGAGAGGGTAAGAGAGAAAGAGAACCCTAGGAGGCTTCTCAAGTTCCACGAATAAGCCCCGGCTTAACTTCAAGCGCAAGTCTCCAAAGAGGGATAGAGAGAAAAAGAGAGAAAGAGAGAGAG